TTCAAAGTCTGTTGTACGGAAAACGTGCTATGTCGATCACATAGTAAAATCAGTAAGCGTGAAATCTTGTCTGACTGATATAGAAATCGTGTAACGTAAAATTTTATAGAATGTTATTACTTACATCAAGTGGCTTTATTTACGTCAAGTGGTTCTATTTACTCAAGGGTTTTTACTTTAGTCAATCGTCAAAATGGTCCTGGTGAGAAACTAACTTTAGTCAATACTTTAGTTATGTCATCAATGACTAAACTCAAAAGTTTCGTCATACATCATTAGTCAGATATATTTATTTTGGTACAGACTCTGCCTTTAATTTTGTTGCAGTTTTTAGAAATCATTTACCGTGTATCTCATAGACAAATTTTATATAAAAAAATTGGAATTAATTTTTTTCTATTTTAGAATTAATACTGTATTAACAACTTCTTGTGCTTACTTACTCCCTTGGTATAAAACTCTTTTTGCTCATTGTGAATATCTTCATTAGGCGGTGAAATTTCAAATCGATGGTTAAACAAAAATATCAGAAAAATTGAAATATATGATTCACATTAATTGGCTTTATTTTTTGATCCAGAGATGAAGCAGTTGAAAATCTGGAAAAAACAAACAAAGGCATCAGCATGATATCCTTTCATCCCCAACTTGCTAATAATAAAAATAGTGCTGGTTATGGTTTACATAAAGAAGTTATATAAGATCTATTAAAAAAAAAAAGATTTAATATTGGTTTAGTAGTTTTTGCGACTCGATGATGGTGAAACTGAAAAAAATGAAATTGATCAATATTTGTTTAATGAATTGAATTTAGATATTTTAGAATGATGGAAACCCCATCCAAATGAATATCCAAAACTAACAATATCGTGTGTTCCTATTACTTATCAATTCCCGCCTCTAGTACAGTCGGTGAAAGGGATTTCAGTGCAGCCGGTTAACAATAAATGAACATTGATTCAAATTTAATCCAGAAACAGTTGATAGCATAATTGTCTTATGTAGTGCTCTCAAATAATAATTAAACTTTATTTTGTGCTATTTAATTAAATAAAAAACCATTTTCTATAATCTGGGTTTGGTTGGTATAATAATAAAATTTTGATACCATGCGAGTATCGGTTTCAATCATTATTACCCATGCGGGCCTCTAGTCAGAAATAGTTGAAAAGCAGTCATTAAAAATAATATTATTTAGTTAATAACTATATATTAATATATATATTGAAATTCACGCGTGTGAATCTAAATTAGCCAATCAGAATTTTGTATCAAACTCCACCCCCAAAAATTTTTAATTATAAATTTCAAATTCACACGATTCAACAATATCTAAAATTGCATCATTTTCTTTTCCTTTTACTCTTGATCAAAAAAAAATTTAAAATAAATTTTAGATTGTAAAGTTCCACCACTGCAATTGTCACCAATCTCAAGCAATAAAAAATAATCCAAATGTTGAAGACAGAAACCTCAAAAGTCGAAGGTAGTTAAATTGTCTTTGTATTTGTGTGACCAACTGGCCTGAATATTTTTTCTTTTTTCTTGATTTCCAGCTAAGAAGACCACCATAATCTGGGTCTTGACGATATTTTTTTCCCCCTACAAAGCCTGTGAGAATTGGCACGAGTCTCGCTGCTTTGTCTCCATGAAACTCGCTAAAGAAGCAATGAAAAAAGAAGCAATGAGCCTATACAAAGACTCAGAAATTATCCAAGAAGCTGATGACAAGTATTTTGAAAGAAGCTCGAGGGAAATACACTTTGGAGAAAGCCGAGATGAATCCGATTATAGAAGAGAGTTTGGCTTCTGTAAAATTGACCCTGTCAAACTGGAAGGCGAAGAAAGCGGTGATGACATGCCATTAAGTGACAAGACGAGTGTGATTGAAGAATAAAGTAAGGCATGAATGATCACTTTCTAATTGACAGTTTTATGCCACGACTACATTTGTTGATTATATATTGGCTTTCTTTTTAATATAGATACATACAACTGTGCAGTTATCTTGCTTGATTTTCTTTTTTTTTAGTATTTCTAAAAGATTCTTTGTAGATGAGACAAGGAATCTTGAATTTTATACAAAAAAGATAAAAACAAAATCCAAAAATGAATCATTAAAATTAAAAATTGTTACTTTGCTTTAAAAACATCATTTTTTTTTAACTATGTCAGGTTTTAAATTGGTATGCTTATTAGTGACGTTATTTTCCTGCATTTAAATGATACATTTCAGAGGTGTTATACATAATTCCAATTATACATATTTTATCATTACTTGACAACATTGCCTTCTTGTTAAAAATAATTCCAAACATAACTCCTTTTTTACTTCCTCCACGTAATTTATTCATGCCTTTGGTCTGGAAATATTATATTGATATATTATTGAGAACTAATTTACTTAAATTATTATATGATGATGATTTTTCTAAGTTTTATGTATGACTGAGACAAGAACTATTATCACTTTTAATTTTATATACAGAAAAGAAAGTAACAAAAATTTTTTTTTATAATCAGTCAACTATATTTGAAGACATTAATCTGAAAAGACAGACAAGTAACAGGTTATGTAAACCACAAATATTACAACGTGGATCAAAGATTGATTATTTAATCATCTTGTTAACAGATTATGATACAATATGTGAAAACAGAGTTGTAACATTTACAAGGTCCAAACAACAACAATCATAATTATATTTTTAATTTGACTTAAAAATGACAAGGGTGCAAGACTATTTATTGTCCATCTCTTTAATACAATAATCACCCCTTCCTCTTCTTGTCCTTAACCATCTGGTTGCTTCCTTACTTCAAATTACTCAGCAAAAATGCAAAAATACGAAAGTCATAAATGAATATTTTGATTTAGAAGATAATAATGTTAATTATTAAAAATTAAATTATATATACTAATCCAATGTTTCAAAATTAAGGAACCCAAAACTATTTTTAAAGTTCTTTTTTTAGCAGACGCACCTTGACACCAAGTCACTATAGAATTTTCTGTAGAGCAAATTTTATTTATACAATAAAATAGATCATTATTGTTACTAAATTAGATCAGATTAACAAGTAACATTGACTCTACAAAACGCAAAAAGCATAACAATGAGGTAGTTGTTTGTGTATAAATAAGGTTAAAAATAAAAATCATATGTTTCATTATGATATGTTTTCAATAAATTGTAAATGAAAACACCTAATAGATACAAATAGCATGACTTTGAAATCACCTCAAGAATTAGACATTTTTTTATCTTATGAAGCATAAAAATAATGTAAGAACATATATCATTCTTTTGCCTCAATTCAGAGTTTCATGTTTGCTCCTATGTTGGAATGTTTATTTGGTTCTAAAAATATAATCTTGAGATAAATTGGCAATGTTTTTATTCATATTCAATAAATTTTCAACAAAAATTTAATTTGTATTCAATGAATAGTCCTAGTGATGTAAATAAGATTAGAAGGAATGATAAAATAAATGTTAGAATTAGGCTGTCACTAATGCCAGACATAAAAATAAAATATGCAGTCAAATATGCAGAAAAGCAGCTCATAAAGATATCACTAGATCAAAACAAGCTATTCATGCTGTTGCATGACCAGCTTTGTAAGAAATATATCTTGAGGATGATTTGGATGAAATAGACATACATGTTTGGATTACAAAGCATCTGGTAAAATAATTTAAAAATAAAAACTTTATTTTTAATATTGGAAGCATATGCCAAGCCTATACCTAAATCTAAATTACTTTCAATCAACTTTCCCAAGTGACTTGCAGATATCTCCTTTTTGAAACACTGCCTGGTCTCCTCAATTAAACTTAAGGTAAATGGTTTTGATTAAATCATTTAGTCATCATTACTTATGATTATAACTAATTTGTGTAAAAAAACAAATTAATATAATCATCTTTCAGATTCTCTAGTGATGCAACAGCTACATTCACCTTAATGGGTAAACTCCCTAGTCCTCTCAACTCTCCAATCTTTGGCGGATTCATCCTCCACCAACAACTATTCACCCATTTATTTAATGGCTATTTGATTTTCAAAGTTTCATCTTGGAACATTTAAACCCTTTAAATATTAAAAAATTGATTAGATCAATTGAAATATAGATAGATAATCCAACTAAATCGCCTAATAAAAAGAGAAAATCTATGATTAAAATTGTAATGGGATAAAAAATTCTATCAAGACAATCATTACTATATTAAGGTTATGTGGGTGTGTAGTCATCTTTGATTGATTTTTTATGTGTATAAAAGGAACTTTATAGAAGCCTTTGAACTTTATAAAAGAATTGTCTTATTTATTTATAGAGATAATATTAATAATCTTTTATTATAAAATTGGAACCATTAATAGATCAAGTAGTGCAAAGGAAAATCGAAATGGAATCCAATCCAAAATTTGATAAAATTAATAGATATTGGAATATCAGATAGCTATTGATAATGAAGAAAATCATCCTGATGATCCTATGGATGTTGATTATACTCTTTATAATCTCTCCGGGCAACTTCCAGTGGGTACTCCCAGAAGAATTGTGAATCAAACTAATATTAAAAAGAAGAAGCCTAAAAGGGAGCTAGGAAGACAAAAAAGGCAGTCAGACATATTATTTGCAATGATGATCAAGATAATACTGAATATGAAGAAGTTGATGAAGAATCTGAATATGAGGATGAAGATGATGAATATGAATACAAGGAAGAAACCTATACTACAAATTCTGTAAAAAAAAAGTCCTGTGGTGAAGATAATACCTAAAAAGAAGATTGTAACTTGGGAAATCTATGAAACTGGTATGAAAGAGATTATGAAAGTACTAGAATATCTCATTACAGCAGTAAAGCAAGATAAAAATCCGTCTTATGAAAACACTTCTTTGAATGAGCAAAGCCCATTGAAAACACTTCTAATAATCGGCCAGCTATTGAAAATGTTAGTGAACTTATGATATTCAGTATTCTTTATAAACCAGCTAGTGATGTAGTAACTATAAAGTGCAAAATCAATAAATTAAGTATCCCTTGATGGTGAAGCAAATTGCTCTATAATATCATTAAATATTGCTAAAAAATTGGGACATGATAATGATATATACAAGTAGACCTACTTCTCTTGAAGGTGTGGCTACTAAATCTGATACTATAGGGTGGGTGTGCAATATTCCTGTAAGGGCGCTGACATATATTAGCTAATATTTTAAGGGGTGGTGATAACAGAAAATCTTAGGTCACGCAATCTCATAAATAACGTGATCATAATGGCTTCAGTGAAAGATCTGCATTTTTATAATTTTGAATGTAAGTGTTTTAATTTGGGAATGATCTACATGTAAACCAATTGTCATTTAAAAAAAATTGTATTACACTTTTTGTCTACAGGATGATATGGCAATTAATTCTCACATTCTCATATACATAAATGCTATAATTAATCATTCTTTATCTGATATACATTTCCTTAAATATATTTTGTCAAAAAGAGGTCACTTTTGTTGTGAATGAGAAGAGAGAAATCATCAAGAATCCTTGAGTTTTGTTCTTAGATTTCCTTTAGCAGGATGTATTGTTTGTAATTTTCAAATAAGAGTTATTACACTCAGAACCAAATAGGTTGTTTTGTCAGGAAATAGCCAATGCAAATCATATCAAGAGATCATAATATATTATAAAGGAAAAATTTTTTACTCCAATGTTGCTTTAAAATGTTTTGATTTATTAATAAAATTAATTCTTTTTTTTTTGCTTGTGCTTTGTCAATACCTAAAAAGACAAATGATTGTCATACATATGATCAAAATGTCTTACCTGGGGGTGGGAGAGTGAGTGCTACTATTAAAATAATATTAGCTAATATATGTCAGTGCCCTAAGTGTTGGATTCTTCACTTTATTAAATGATTTTATCATTATGGATGATAATAAACCTGCACTACTTCTTGGTACACCTTGGCTTGATAGAGCACAGGCTAAAATAGATTTCCAGAATCAAATTCCTTATGCTGGAGACTCTGCTGGCTGGTTTAATGTTTAATGTAAAGATAAAAAAATTCGTAAATAATGCATCAATTGCCCAGACTAAATCCAATAGATCAAAAACAGATCAAATATGCACAGAATGTGGAAAGAAGTTCATGTACCCATCAGGATTAAAATGTCACTTGAATGGGAAAAAAGTATCTTGTGGGAAACATAATATGGTACCTATTCATCTAATAACAGATGAACATTAGTTATATTAAGATTTAAACTTATGCTATAAAAATCATAATGTTTTTCATAGTGTCACCAATTAATTTTGGGAGAGCATGTTTTAATTGATGATAACAGATTTTAGCAAATAATTTTGATTTAGTGATTTGATAAAAATGATTTATTTAATTTTGTATTTAGTCAAAACTAATTATTAACTTATTATTAAGTTAAT